GAGTTCCCCTACTATTATTATGTTGCTGTCAATTCTCCCTTTATGTTTGTAAATAGTCACTTTATATACTTTGGTGCTCCTCTGTTACGTGCACATATATTCATAAGTGTTGTGTCCTCTTGGTGGAATTTCCCTTTTATCATTATATACTGCCCCTCTTTATCTCTCATTATCTGTTTTATCTTGAAGTCTGCTTTGTCTGATATAATAATGGCAACACTTGCTTTCTTTTGCTTTCCATCTGCTTGGAGTATCATCTTCCATCCCTTCACTCTGAGCCTGTGTTTGTCTTTAGAGCTGAGCTGTGTTTCCTGGAGGCAGCATATTGTTGGGTCTTGTTTTTTTTGAGGAAGATTGGCCCTGAGCTACCATCTGTTGCCAATCTTCCTCCTGTTTTCCTTTTTCCCAGTAGATAGTTGTATGTCATAGTAGTACATCCTTCTAGTTGCTCTACGTGGGACGCCACCTCAGCATGGCTTGATGAGTGGTGCATAGGTCTGCACCCAGGATCCAAACCAGCAAACCCTGGGCCACCAAAGTGGAGTGCACAAACTTAACTGTTATGCCACCGGGCCAGCCCCTTGGGTCTTGTTTTTTAATCCATCCAGCCACTCTGTGTCTTTTGATTGGAGAATTCAATCCATTTACATTTAGAGTGATTATTGATATATGAGGGTCTAATATTGCCATTTTATCTCTTGTTTTCCAGTTGTTCTATATTTCCATTGTTTCTTTTCCCTTGTCTTTGTGGCTTCCATTTCAGTTTGGTGGTTTTCTGTGATGGTTTTCTCAGTTTTCTCTTTATTTATGATTTGTGGCTCTGCTGTGACTTTTTTGTTTAGTGGTTTCCATGAGGTTTGTATAAAAGATCTCATAGATGAAATAGTCCATTTTCTGTAGCCTCTTATCTTCATTAGCCTAAGCAGGTCCATCCCTTTCCTCTTCTCTTTCTGAGTTATTGTGGCCACAAATTATTCTTTTTTGTGTTGTGAGTTTGTGACTAAATTGAAGTGATTATAGTTATTTTTGATGCTTTCCTTCCCTTTGTCTTTTATGTTATAAATAAGTGTTTGCTAACCTATTCTAATAGAGAGCTGCAGTTTTCTGATTTCGTTTGTCTATCTCCTTGATCAAAGCTTTGTAGGCCTTTGCCTTTTATGTTTCAGGTAGGAGGGCTCCTTTCATCATTTCTCTTAAGGCAGGTTTAGTGGTGATGAACTCCCTCAGCTTTTGTTTATCTGGGAAAGCTTTTATTTCTCTGTCAAATCTGAAGGATAATTTCGCTGGATAGAGTATTCTTGGCTGAAAGATTTTGTCTTGCATTATTTTGAATATATCATTCCATTCTCTCCTAGCCTGTAAGGTTTCTGCTGAGAAATCCTCAGAAAGCCTGATAGGGGTTCCTTTGTAGGTTATTTTCTTCTGCTTTGCTGCATGTAATATTTTTTCTTTGTCATTAACTTTTGCCAGTTTTAATATTATATGCCTTGGAGAAGGTCTTTTTGCATTGATGTAATTAGGAGTTCTATTGGCTTCATGTACTTGTAAGTCTATTTCCTTCCCCAGGTTTGGGAAGTTCTCAGCTATTATTTCTTTGACCAAGCTCTCTTCTCCTTTTTCCCTCTCTTCTCCCTCTGGAATATCCATAATTCTTATGTTACTTTTACGAATTGAGTTGGATATTTCTTGAAGAATTTCTTCATTTTTTAAAAATCTTAGTTCTCTCTCCTCCTCCACCTGAAGCATTTCCATATTTCTGTCTTCTAATTCACTAATTCTGTCCTCCATAAGATCTGCTCTATTTTTTGTGCTTTCTACATTATTTTTTATCTCATTAATTATGTTCTTCATCTCCAGAATTTCTGTATAGTTTTTTTAGAGCTCTAGTCTCCTTGGTGAAGTATTCCTTCTGTTCATTAATTTTATTCCTGAGCTCATTAAACTGTCTTTCTGTGTTTTCTTGTAACTCGTTGAGTTTCTTTATGACAGCTATTTTGAGTTCTCCATCATTTAGATTGTAAATCTCTGTGACTTCAGGATTGGTTTCTGGAGACTTGTCATTTTCCTTTTGCTCTGCAGTGTTACTGTAGTTCTTCATGGTGTTTGATGAATTGATGCTCTGCTGGTGCGTTTTTGGTAGTATCAGGTCGCAGATTCCACCTGCCACTGCTGGGGATGGGCAGGAGCTGTATTTTCTGTTCCTGCTCCATCTGCTGGTAGTTGTGCCTGTTGAGCCGCTCTGCATTCACAAGACCTGGCCACAGCCACTCAGCAGGTCTCGCTCATGCAAGTGGGGCCGCTGCACTTGGCAGGTGGGTTCAGCTGAGGTGCTGTGCTAGGCAGGAAGGGTGCTTTCATGCAGGCTGGTGCTGTGCTTCTGGGTGGGTCCTGCGGGCTGCTGTGCTTAGCGGGTGGGGCCCTTTCACATGGGCTGAGCTGCTGCCGTTTGGCAAGTTGCACTTGCGTGGGCAGGGTGCCTTCCTGCAGGCCAGGTGCTGCGCTCAGTGTGCAGGTTTGCAGGCTGCTGCGCTTGGTGGGCGGGGTGCCTTCTCGGGTGCTGAGCTGCCGCCACTCAGTGGGGAGCTTTGGTTATGGGCAGGGCTACTGCAGCTTGGTGGGCACTCCCACTGGCCAGGCTACCATTCCAAAAGCACTTGCCTGTGGCCCAGGCTGCCCCCACCTCCACTCACAGTCATGCCGGCTGCTGTGTGAGGATCCAAGACCTGGATCGCTGCCACCAGGGAGGGGGAGAGGGCTGCTTCCCTAGTTCCACTGCTTCCTGGGGATCCAGTCCACCCACCTTCACATGTATAGCTGCGTGGATCTCTCAGGCTTCCTGTTGTGTTGTGTAGGGAATCCTCTGTTGGTTAATGAATGTCTGTTTAGTTGTAACTTAGAGGGGAGAGACAAAGGGTACAACTCACTCCACCATGATGCTGACATCACCTCCCGATAGTGAATAGTTTTAATCAAGAAGTATTCCTACTGTTAAAAAGAAGACAACAGCCCCAAAATGGAGTCACTTATGCTAAGGACCATCAAAACTTAATACCTAACCTCACTGCAGTTTCAACCTTCCCAGGAATGTGACTTTTAACCAGGCAACCTGGAATTTCCTGGTCAGTGCTAGGAGGTGATCCACTGATAGACCCCTTCTGTTCCCTTTAGGTGGGCAACCTTGCCTAGAACAATGCATTCTTTGCTAATAATTTCCTTTCTTCCACATTCTCTTTAAAAACCTTTAAAAACTTTTCCTAATTACCTCAATACCTTTCCTTTCTGCAGCTCAGTGGAGCTCCTTTCTCTTTCCTAGATGGGATGCTGCCGAATTCATGAATCGTTCAATAAAGCCAATTTGATCTTTTAAATTTACTCAGTTGAATTTTTTGTTGTTTAACACTACTAATTAAAAAAATACATCATATGACTATAATGAAGTTGAGTTGTCATAAGGCTTGTAAAAAATACATTTTTGCTTTATACGCCTTTTTAGGTAGTCAGTGTATTTTATGATTACAACTAAAGTTCATTATAAAATTTTGATTACTTTATTGTAACTGTAATAAATATATGTATGTGAAATGCAATAGTATACAAAATACAAGTAGCCCCAGATGTCCCTATTTTCTCTTCTCTAAGGGGCTAAGGAAGAAAAGAGAGATTTAGCCTCTGGTAGAGTGGCTTATTCAGGTGGTAGGTGTTCCCATAAGAATCTTTCTTTTGGTTTTGGCCAGCCCTCAAGTTCTTATCTTTGATCAGTCACTGATCTTGGGACTGATTAGGGTTACCTCTGGGGAAGATTGTGAAGTAACCAAAGCTTTTGTTTGTCACCCCTCAGATTACTTTGGCATCTACTTCCTGTCTCTGGCACTGTTTTTTTTTGAGGAAGATCAGCCCTGAGCTAACATCCGTGCTAATCCTCCTCTTTTTGCT